TCCCGGGGGGCTGCTGGATGGTGACGCCGGGGTGGGGGGGCTTGTTCCTCAGTCTCCCCCCCAACCCTGGCCTACCTGGGTGGGCTGCCCCATTTGCTCTGTTCCTCCCTCCACCTCGGTGACCTGGTGCCCCTTGCCTGCAGCATTGCTAGCACCGAGTACCTGGACGCACTTCGCCGGATCACCCCGGTTGTCCGGCAGCACCAGGAGGCCTTGGTCCCCGGACAGCCCCAGCTCAATGTGTGCAACCGGGCGGTCATGGTAAGTGGTTCGTACGTGGGCTATGGGGGGCATCCCAGGGCCATGTGAGTGCTGACCGGTCTGCTGCAGGCACAAACCCCACTTCCCTTCTGCTTCTCTGTCTCCGAGCTCACAGGAGTGGCAAGGGGGTCGCTTGGCACGTCTGCAGGTGCAGGACGAGCCAAACCCATGTGGGATGTGGGTGTTGAAAGGCTGGGCAGACGGCCTAGGGTGCAGCAAGTCCATGGGCCACCTCCGAGCACAGCTGCCTCCAACTCCACGGGGGCTCACCCACAAGTCCGTCCCATAACTGGGGTGTCTGTGTGGCTCCCTGCTCCACAAAGATGGGCGATCTCCCGTCCCCGCGGCAGAAGCTCCGGCAGCACCCCAAAACCCGCAGAGCAAAGCCAGTAGCTTAGCCTGGCTTCCAGCCCGTGAGTGCCCCCCCCCCGCACACCCCATTGCCCAGACCCGCCTGGTGGTTGTGAGGACGGCTAAGCCCCTTGAAGCTGCAGGCGCGGCCGGGCCAGCGGAGCCGCTGCCTCGAGCCAGGAGGTGACTGTGTGAGCATTGCCGGGTGGCTGTGATGGGTGCGCGTGATGACAACGCATGGATGTTGGAAGCATTCCCTAGGGGTGAGGAGTATCGGGGCCGGTGGCCTTGGGGGTGGCTGAGGGTCATTGGCCAGGGCCAGTGGGGCAGCCTGGTCGCTGTTGTCCACATCTGGGGCTCACAGGGGAAGACATTTGGGGCGGGGGCCAGCAGGGCCTCCCCCTTCCCTTGGAAGGACGCCAGGCTGGCATTCGGGCCTCTGGACTCAGCAGGGGAGCAGGAGGGCCCCCCTGGCTCAGGACCACTGCGGCCCCTCGGGTCCCAGGAGCCTGAGAGACCCCCGCCTAGGGAGGAGCCCCTGGTGCCCCCTGCAAACCCGTCTTGTCCTCTGTGACACGGTGCTGTCCGCACCCCAACACGCCATCTCCTGTCATGCCTGCTCTGTGGGCCGAGTCTCTAGGTAGCAGCCCTTGCCTGGTGGCTCAGAGACCAAAGGGGTCTTAGTGACAACAGGGGAGATGGGGAGGAACTGACTTGGCCGGGGTGCTGCCGCCACCTGCTGGGCGCGGCAGGAATTGCCGAGGCTCGGCCGACCCCGTAACAGGAGAAAGCAGGGACCCCCGCCCCAAGTGAGCTGAGGACCCCGGAACAGCGTGGGTTGGCCTCAGACTCTGAAGCGAGCACTGCCACCAGAGAGGTGCATGGACTTAACAGTGTGTGGACGCGTGTGCGCGTGCACACGCGAGCATGCAAAGCCCTCCCTGGTCCCCGCACTCTGCCTGGGCCCCACTCGTCCAGGCCAGCGGGTGAGGACTCTGGGTAGCGACCTCTGCTCTTGGGACAGGAGCAGCCTGGGCAGCCTGCCTCCCTGAACCCCCAGGCTCACAGGTTGGGTCCAGAATCTGCTTTCTGCATGCACCAGGCCCCTTCCTCTGCTCTGCCTCAGAGGCTGGGAAATGCTTCCTTATCTAAACCTGGCCCTGCCGGGCGGCCTGTGCAATCAGAGGGCCACCTGATGCTATTCAGGGCAGGGGTGGGCTTTACCTGTGGTTCTCACTGGCGCTCATGTTCTGATTCAGACTCAGGCCCTGCCAGGGGCGGTAGTAGGGGGAGTGCCCCCCACAGGGTGATTAGGGGGATGGGTACACCTCCTGGGTGAGGCGACACGACAGAGCCACAAAGGCTCCCTCTCAGGGGCATGAGTGTCCTGTTTTTTGGGGGTTTTTTCTTGTCTTTTTTTTTTTAAAGGAACATTTATTTATTTATTTATTTATTTATTTATTTATTTATTTGCTGTGTTGGGTCTTCGTTGCTGCGTGCGGGCTTTCTCTAGTTGTGGCGAGCAGGGGCCACTCTTTGTTGCAGTGCACGGGCTTCTCATTGCGGTGGCTTCTCTTGTTATGGAGCACGGGCTCTAGGCGCACGGGCTCAGTTGCTCCGCGGCATGTGAGATCCTCCCAGACCAGGGCTTGAACCCATGTCCCCTGCATTGGCAGGCGGATTCCCAATTAACTGCACCACCGGGGAAATCCGAGTGTCCTGTTCTGTTGCCAGGAAATCATGGCCACACAATGCAAGTCTGCCCATGAAGGTGCAGCCAGGAGAGCCTGTGCTGAAGTAGGCCAGCTTTCCCTGGGGCACCAAGGCCGCCACCTACAGAGCTTACCGGGAGGCCAAGGTTGTGGGCAGTTAGCGGACTGTCCCCTTCAGTGACAGGCAGGCCCTGTTAATACCAGGCTGCTGTGGGGCAGTGTCTCCTGTGCCGGCCTCAGGCATTGAGTTGCCTCCGAGCCAGGTAGAGACAGGTGATTCCACACTGCAGCCACCCATTGCGGTGGGGCAGGTCACAGGCCTGGGCAGGGCAGGAGTCTGGAAAGTGCTGAGTCCACAAGTGCTTGGAATAACTGCATGTCCCCTTTCTGAACTTTCATTACCCAGAACTGGGCGCCCCCGGGCTGCGAGAAGTTAGGGAAGTGCCTGATGCCCCCGGAGTCTGTCCCAGAGAAGTGTTCCTGGCCCCACTAGCACCGGCTTGGGCTCAGGACAGGCCTGGGCGTAGGAAGGCTCTGGCCTCAGGGCTCCTGTGCTGGAAGAGCCCCAACTCCCTCTGCCCTGACTGCTGCCAGACGGACGTCACCTATAGCCAGCAGCAGGACCTGTAAGACTACGCCTGCTGCAGCCCGCCCGGCCCTGGAGTCAGCTCCCAGCCCACCGGGCCTGCCTGACTCCACAGCCGCAGGCTCACATCAGCCCCTGAACCGGAGGCCGCCTGCCTCATGTCCTCCCGCTCTGCTCCAGCTACCTCCCAGCTGCCTCTTCCAGGGCCTGAGCTCTGCCCCAGGACCCAGAGGCCTGACTTGCCGTGGCTGCCCCTGCAGTCCCCTCAGGACTTCAGCCCTGGCGTCAAGGGCGGCCGTGCCAATCCTGTGTTGCCCCTTGGCACTGTGCACAGGGGATACCCCAGAGCCCCTCCCCCGCGTACTCCCACCCCATGGTCGGGGGCTGTGAACATGAAGCGGGAGGAGGCCAAGGGCCTCCCTGTCCCGGAGGAGCCTCGACAGCCAAGGCCTCCCCAGTCCAGTGCGGACAGCTGAAGCTGAAGGACTCCCGACCCCAGCACACTGTGGGGCCTGCCTGTGCTTCAGCCCTCCCGTCCTCGAGCCCAGGGTGGCAAAGCTTGAGGATGAGCCCATTCACCAGCGAAATCAGGAGAGCCTGAGCAGGACTGTGAACGGCCTCCAGGGACTCCCCCTTAAGGCTCGTGGGTCGTTTCCACTGTGTGAAGTTTCCACTCTGCAGACTGTCACACCAACTCTGTACTGTTGTAAGACTTGGGCAATTATGAAGAGAACAGGTTTAGAATAAAGTAACAGGCATTTTAGCCTTTTGTTTTTAAATGAAGTTCTATTTGGGGGAAGTTGTCCCCCCTGGGTACCAAGGTGGGGGCTGGAGTGGGCCAGGCCAAGCATTCCATCACTCCCTCCTCCGCTGCCTTCCCGCTGCAGGCCCCTGGGGAGCCAGGCAACAAACGCCTGGGCTTCCGCCTCTGGCTCGCCCCGCCCCCGGCCGTTGGTTCTCTGAACTGCTCCCTTCCGGGCCTCTGCGCCGCACTCCTGCTCGGAGTCCCTACATGCTCTGGTCCTCAGACGCTGGCGCGCTCCTGGGGAAAGAGCCAGGCTGTGTGTGTGCGCCCCGTGCGCGCGCCGGCCCCCTCGCACCGCGCTGCAGGAGCTCAGCCGAGACCCGCCGGGGAGGGAAGA